GTATGTATGTATGCATGTATGTATGTATGTATGTATGTATGTATGTATGTATATATGTATGTATGTATGTGTGCATATAAGTATGTATGTGCAATGGATAATTTCTGCGGTGGTAAAAACGCGTCGGTTTCCTCTTAAGCTTTCAGTGCCTGAAAATTTCGTAGCCTTTTTGACTAAGTTTTGCCATTAGGCTGATCGACGGTGTCGCACTGAAGTGAATAGCGCGGTTTTACGTCCTTTGGTGTACGATGGAGTACGACTACATGGATAATTACGAATTTGAGCGGATCAGTTGAATCCGTGGATCTTGGATGCGCCTAATACAGTTCGGTAGTGCCAATCCATTGGAGCAAAGCCTGGGTCATCATATGAATCACTAATCACGAGATCTGGAGGATTGGAATACGGTATCGTGACTAAGACCACGGTGCAGACTCTTCATCACACTTTCCTCTCGTTCGCTGACCGGATATTCCAAGATGCCAGCCACTCGTTTTATGCAAATATAATAACCTGCTCGTCTTCGAGTTGCGCTACACGAGGAAACTTTATCATCTAAAGATAAAAACTGAACCGTACAGAAAATCAGTGGTGCTGCATTCGTAGCCTCGTGAATTCTTCTGCCTCAGAAGTGCCGTTTTTCTACTGGTTTCGCGTCATAATTACCATGCTGCTCCAACCTGCATATACGCGGGTGCTGAAATCAGAAAGAAGCATTTTCTTGCGTATTATAATAAATGGTAATAAGTGAATCATCAGTAGACTCCAAGTGATTACCGGCTTTAACGGAGTTTCATATTTAGAGTACATAGTAGTACATAAGCACTTGTTGAATCAGTTCTAAGGCTGGCGTATAAGACACACAGTACAATCAGCAGGTTCAAGTTTAAGACCCCGTTCACGGCCAACAACGCAGATCGTTCAGTTGCCGATCAGTGATCATAACCACGCCCATCGTCTACCGTATTCTTGTTCGGGGTATCAGACACCGTCATCACCACCGGCTGTTGTTCAGAGATTCCTCACGACCATGGCGATGAGTGCCCCAAAGGTGGAAACGAGCTTTGGGGTAGCCGAGGTCATCGCAGCGTTGTCCATGTTGCAGTAGTCGTACTGACAACACGATGTGCAGCTGACGAAGCGGTTCTCCATGTCGTCGAGAGGCGTACAGCCTGGGTAACACTGCGACGTGCAGTCCCTCTTGAAATAGTAAGTGCGACCGTTTTCGCTTTCCGAATAAAAATGCCACACCTACAAAAGTTTTGCACTCTTAAACCATATGCCACGGTTTCTCCGACCTCACAACCCACTGACTCACTGCCTCATTCGTTTGGAAAGGTGCAAAGCGTATCATATGATGTTACTAGATGCTATTTGTTCTGTTGTGTTGAAACGATGCGAATTTACTGCTTTATTCGAATACGAATAACTTTTGAGGTGTATGCGATAACATGAGGAGGACCAACTCCAGAGACATGGTTAATGATGAGCGACACGTAGCACTAGAGGACAAAATGATGCGAAATACATATGGCACTGCAGGTGCTTAAATACCATGTAAGGAAAGAAAAATTTGACTCTTCCATCACTTTCATAATTGGAACCTTCTTGGGCCTTTCTGTTCATAAAGTTAATGGTGCGGTGCTGCTCTCCATTTTCAGTCTGTCACTTAGGAGTTCCTTATAGTTGCCCGTTTCCTTGCCACAAAGTGGTACTCAATTATCAACTCCAATCGGAGCTTGAATTCGTGTTCTATCGGTTCCGAGTTCGACGCTCTCTGATTTAAAAACCCTTGCCTGAAGTATTGTGTGTCAAACTCATTCCTCAAGAGGATCCGTAAACGAGACAAAGATCATCCTCGAGCGGAATCGAAACCGATGCCTCCGGAGTTCGAAGCAGACCACTGAAGCAACTGTGCCAACACGCCATGGAACCGTCACCTGATTAAATTCCCCCTACTCCCGCCCTCCCCCCAGGCCACTGGGTCCAATGGGGCGGTGACGCCAGAAATTCTGGTCCTTGAGGAATCATTCTTTGTAAAATGCAGCATTTTGTTTCTCGTTCGTGCGTTGTCAGTCATACAGCATAACATCTGCTTATTTAGACTTACAATGAAAAGCAGTTGTCTTTTGGGTGACAGGACATGAACTTTGTAATCCGTCCGCCATTAGGCAACTGTATTGCGATGTGCGATTAAACTGTATTTAAATATGCCATACACTATGCAACTGCTATACAATATGGCCCATAGATGCATAGAGTAAACTTTTATATTTGCTGTGATCATCAGTTGAAATCTTCAGCTGCTCAGCTCCCTTGCCTCAGGGCAACAGAATGGTTACTACATTGTTGAAGGATCAGTTCACGCAAATAGCATATCCGCTCTACTTATTTCACTTACGTTAAGCGCTGGTCTCCCAGGGGAAGTCTGCTGGGTCCAGTCTTCCATATGAAATGTTTGAGAGCAAGGGTGAATGTGAAGTGTTTATACTCTGCGAATATATGTAGAAAGACTTGCCCATTTTTTCTGATCTGTTCATCAATTATGAAAATATATTCATTCTTACATGCTCCTGCCAGTTATCCCTCATTGGCTCTTCAGAGCCAGCGCTGCTGTCTATGGCCCAACCATTGCTATTGGCCTTTCTATAAAATAATTGTCTCCGTGCCATGTAACTACGCTAATCTGTAAGAGGCAAGTGTAAGGGGCTGCTTTCGTGGAAACGAATATTTCGCTTATGGCCTAAATCTGGTACAAACACGGAAATATCCTGAAGATTTGTGCTTCGGAAAAGATCTCAGGATTGGCCTTTTTAAGTTTATGCTCTTGTAGAAAGTGATACAGTTGAGGTACTCGAACTAATCGACATCTACGTTCGCTTCACCTCTATTTTCCGTGTGCCGATGAGTTCCTCTTCAGTCGTGCAGCAGCAGGTGACGAAACTCACTACCCTATGTTCACAGTGGCAAAATGGTCTTTGTAGCTCAGACCACAATGACAGATATTTTCAAGAGAATCTTACCATTACAATTAAATTTTCTCCTTGTCGAGGTAAGCAAGAAATTCACGAATAATGTTGGCAATGTCTCTCTGCAGCGAACTCTGCAATAAATGGAAAATTATTTTGACAGCTTTCCCTCGATTTTGACTCGGACATGGTTCCTGCGTGTACCCCTGTTCCAAAACGGAAACGACGTGCTCACGCATCCCACAACATTGCAAAATTTTGCTCATCTCAGGATGATGTTTTAATCTGATGTACCCTTGAGGTCGACGAAAGTAGCAAACGAAGGCAATTTGTATCGTCAGTGTTACCAAGAGTAAAAACTTGGTCACACCAAAAATTCTGTCTAGAAGTCTGCCTGATGAACTACCTCACTCAATGCCCGTAAGTACTTCACAGTGTTTGTGCGATAAGTAATTTGTAATGCGAAAGTGGTTGTTTTTAATGAATATTTTGTTTTCGTCTGTCACCTAAGTACCGAGATCAAGAATCGGGTACTTAGAGTATACTGAGTTCTGACGCTTTTGGCTTTTCAAAATCGTTTAGGCGAGGATCATATTTCTTGTCGCAGGTGAGTTTGCTTCTGGCACCTGCTCTTGTTGGCGGTAATGGATTCCATCGAGAAGAGAGTGGCTTAATTGTGCGTACTTTAGTGGAAGGAGAGATCGTTCTATGTACTACGTTGTGGCAAGAATTATTCGACTTTATCGTGGTTTCATTATTTAATATTCTTAGTGGCCATCAACTGTCTTACCCTCGTTGTTTTAGCTGCAAACTGGTAGAGAGCGCTAACTGACCTCTGAACAATGCTTATGAGATATGGCTAGGAATACCGGTGGATGGCAACTTCCTGATCAGTTTCTTACGCTGTATTTGAGGTACATCTACCAGCTAACGGAAAACCTAAGCGATCAGTTATTTAAACAGCATGCAGCACGTAGCTCAATTTTGACTGCAATCATCTGCCGGCTATTATATCAAGAAACTCATTTGCTATGTCACTGATACCTTACCGAAGAACAGATACGATATGGAATCATTAATTGAGAGTTAGGGTGCAACAATCGTACACGAGAGTAATTTATTAC